GAGCCCACTTTTGTGGATCCCTCGTTTTTTAATTTTATTTCTCGTTTTACGCTATCTAACTACTTTACTCCTTGAACTTGATCACCGCAGTCCGTGCATTGATCAGCTTTTGTCTAACTACTTTCACTACCTGTGGAGGTCATCTGTCACTTCTCTGAACCGACCTATACTACCCTGTTGCTCAGGTGCATACCGTTTGCTAGGTGTTGACATTAATAAACAACTTGCCTTTCCATCTCTTGTGCATACAAAGCGCAGGGCTTATCTGAAGCCACCATTGAGTTTGTGCTGCTGAATTCCCCTAGTCATTGCTTCCGCTGATCTATGCCTCCGCTGCCTTCTCTGAATCGTTTATTATTTTCATCTGGTTACCTATTCTGTCGCGTTGATATGTTTCCACTATCTGCACCTCCTTGAGTGGAACGTGATTGTGGGCATGTAAGACAGTTCACCTCGCTGTTTCAGGATAGTATTGGCCACTCTACGCTCACTCAGGCCATGTTACAGCTCGCACCCGGTGCTGAACCAGTATTCTCTCCCAGAAGGCATGTCCCATACTCAGCCCTACCCTTGGACGATGACGTACTCAAACGGCTGGAGGATATGTGTTTCCTGGTACCTGTGTCCTCTTCTGCCTAGACAGCCCCGACTGCTGTGGGGAAGAAACCGAATGGATACTTCCGCATCTGTCGGCTTCTCTACTATGCTCAATGTTGTACTGGAGCCGAACTGCCACCCACTACCTGCTCCATGGGATCTCTTCACAATGCTCTATGATGGCACTTGTTTCGCCAACATCCGCTTGACGAACGTATACCTACAGGTCAAAGTTGTACCTGAGTACCAACGCATCCTAGCAATTGACACGCGGCGCGGTCTCCTTCAGTACACTAGTCTGCCCTTTGATGTCAAGACCACCTAGGGTTTTTCCAGCAAACCATGGGCACGATTATCTATGGCAGTCTGCGTGCAGCGGCGTACTTGGCCGATCTCACTATTGGTTCCACCCCAGAAGAACCGCGCGAGCGCCTAGACGTAACCAGCGGTGCGACTGACGTCTGAGAGTAAAAATTGATAGTCTTTCGGTCAATTAAGAACTTTGGGTTCATCTTTGATGCGAATAATCATCATTCGGATCCAGTAAACGCCTGACCTATTCAACTGATACTGTCTCCCGAAGATGTCTCTCAGATGTGCTCCTTCCTTGGCCTCATCAGCTACTACAGCAACTTCCCAGTATCTTTGCACGAGGTATTAGCCCCACTCAGCTTTCTGATGCAAAAAGTCATTCCCTTGGTTTGGTCAATTGCATGCATAAGGCCTCAAATATGTACGAAGTTTTGATCTCCTACTGACTTACTAAGGCCCAACGTTCTCAATTTCGGTCGCCGCTGATGCCTCCAGCTACAGAGCCGGGGCAGTCCTATACCCCCACTTTACACGTGGTTTTAAGAAAACCGTGATACACGTCTCACGCACGCTGACCTCGACAGAACGACTACTGTCAGATCGAGAAAAAAGATCTGGCTATCGAGGTTGCTGCTAAGAAGTTCCACAGGTTGCTGTATGGTCGGCCTTTGACCTGACCGTCATCCTCAGCCAGCCGACTTCAACAAGTGACAGTCATTTTCAGGAATTAGTATGGGTATTAATTGTCTTTTTTTTGAGAAGATTCGCCACATCTAGACTCAGACAGACAACTACCACACGTCCAAGAAGGCGCTAGACGGCCGTTTATTCTCGATTGGACTCGATAGTAGCGCACCTCTGTCAGATCTGAACCCATTACCTTACGAGTCATCGACATATACCACTGAACCATGGATGACGGCGATGGACCGCCACGGTCCTCCTCCACTATCCTGTGTGTTATGAACGTGTAGAGTCGCGGTCTTTTCCTGTCTTCCATAAGACGTATGGCATCAGTTCCATTCTGCTGATTCTGGAACGATCAGAATGAAGCCATTCGCTCCCAGCCCGGTGTCCCCACCGACATAGAATATTTGGTTGGCCGTTGTTTCCGTTATCAACAAACAGCCAAGACGTCACAGCGCCTAGCACTAGTCTGCTGACAACCAGCGGTAATTCCTTGCTCTCTCGTACACCGGCTCCGTCTGTCTTGTCAAGGGCCTCCTCTTCCTGGTCCTAGTTGACATCTTTTGCAAACGACCATTAACCACGCGATCTAACTGCAATGCTAACTTTTCTTCAGCGAGTTTTCTCACTTTACGTCTCCGATGTTTGAAGATTCCTGTCGCCGTCACTCCATCCAACGCCTCCGATCACCGCCTCACTATCCCCATGTTATCGACCAAGCGGAGTATCTTGTCGAAAACTCCAAATGGACGCTGTTGGAAGCTCGTGGGGAGGGGACATTGGTATCAAGTATCCAGGCAGTTATTTCCGCATAAAGGACCACACCGAATCTGGCATCTCCTTGAGGACAAGCTCTCACCGAGGCACTGCTGGGTCGGTAGTTGCACATCACACACGATGTTCTGGTCTCAACTGGAAAACCACCAATATAATCTATTTCCTTTGTTGGAGCCTCTGTCTACGCTCGTGAATACCAGCCTGGTCATCCACACTGGATTGAAGTCACGGTATCAGGACATCGTGGTGTTATACCACATGTACCACGGCGGAAGATGACACATGGATTCGCTACAGATACCAACTAACCGCGACGCGAAACTGTCTGTGAACAGTCCCAATCAAATATGCAGTTGCCGTTACATAAGCTATTGGATTCGTTGAGAACTGCAGTGAGACAACCGGTGTCTGTGGAAGCTGCGCATCCAACGCCAAACGTCCTCCTTCCTCACCACCGGACAGAGCGCCTCCATCAAAGGATCAAGACGCTCTAGATCAACCCGCAACAAGGTCGGTATGCCCGATCTAGAAAGAGGAATTTTATAGTGTGCACACATCCTCACAAGATTGCGCGAGCTAATACCACGTAAGAGACAGACACGCATTCCTTGAGTGCACATATATTACATTCCTTCGTATTTATGTACATATTGCTGATTACAACACATCTCCGCCAAACACTTGTGATACACTCATATTATGTGCATTCACTCGTCTGCACCTCGCTTTTCCTTGACTATCCTACGCGAACTGTTCTGTATGAATGTTGATTTGTCCTTATGTGAGAACAGTCGCACCGTCGAGAGAGAGAATATTCACTCATGTGTAGGCAGTCGGTCGGCCGGTGGCCGAAAAGGTTACGCACTTGCCTTGCAGTATACTTAGCCCACGCGTGATTGCTGATGTTCGGGTGCAGGAAATCGCCCGTACCGTGTGCCGGCGTACTGCTGATACCTTATGTCACCGGACTCGGCGTGTAGCATTGTATTGTTGGGTCGTAACATCATTTTCCGAACACCTCTCTTCACTTTCTTTCATTTAGTTGCGTCCGTAATGAGCGTTTTTCTCGCGTGCGAGGGAGTTTTGACAAGATTGCTCAGTATTTATGTAGAGTTCGCGGAGACATTGTCTCTCGTTCCGATTAATCTAGCTGTTACAATCACACCGCAATACGGCTTTTAGTGATCCATTGTCGCTGGGAAGGCTCGATCGTGCTACCACTTGCCTGGTTTTGCTTTGCGGGCTTTCTAGCGTAGTTCCTTGGTTTTCTTACTTACATCAGGGTAAAATATGATCCGAATCCCCCGTCGCAATCCAATTACGCAGGAAGTGGTCCAAATGACGCAAACCAGCCAGTCGTTAACCCTTGTGCCAAACGTTGCTTCCCGTGTCTCGGTGGTTAAGGGGTAGGGCTTTCGGCGTATATCCCGTAGGCCCAGGGATTGTGTGACTGCTATATCCGTCTGATGAGATGAAACACGTTCCGAACCGGTCGTAAAATGCTGTGTTTCCGGGTTGGAAACACCCAATATTCATCTAGAGTATGATCCGCTCATTGTTTACTTTAGGGCGACCTTACATCAACTGTGTAGTCTTTTTCAAGATAGTATTTGCCTTGTTGACAGACGCACTTTATTTTCATGGGTTTCCATTACGTGGGCTGTCATTTGACACAGCATTTTCTTGCACATGTAAACTTACTCCGTGTTGGAGCGGAGCAATAAACTGTCTGATACGTGGCCTGATTTATGTGCGGATGTTGTAACTCTTCTTTCACAACTACTTGCATGAATATGGGATACGGCGTTCAACTTCACTCGAAGATCGAGCTCATACATAAGTTCCTCTGGAGTCTCGTAGTTGGTATGCGGTTCTATAAGAGAACCGTGCTTATAAAATAGTATCCTCCTATTTACCAGCAGACGAAAAGCACGGATGCTCTTTTCTAAGGGTCATTTGACGCGCTTTACCATGACATTTTCCGCTGTATTATGCGGAGCTATACTTTATTGTTTGATGACGGGTACGAACGAATCTCATAACTTATGATTCGTTGGTCTTTGTCATTCACTTCCCTGGTAGCCCTGCGTGACGAAACATGTGTTTCAGCCATGGACTACTACTGACAGTATTCGCCTCTCCACACACAAGTGAACGTCAGGCCATTCGCTGTAAATTCGCGCCACAAAACCACATAGTCAAGCTACAAGCTCTCGTTGTGGCTTTATTTCTTATCGTTTTGACAGTCATACCCAGTGACAGTTTTTTCACGGTTTTTTCACGGTTGGCGATTTTGTTTTCACATATCCTTTCGTTCGGCAGTGTTTCTGACTGCTAGCGATGGGTTAACTCCAGTTCTCTTCCATCTATTTTATCCAAATTGTAGTAACTGTCACATAATAAAGCTAAAAGTTCGTGGTATATTGGAGTTTTTTGGCCGTTACCCTTTTTCAAAGCCTGTGATCTTTTCATATTTTTTGTGTTAGCACGCTGCTCACCCAGCATTGAGAATGCAGATGTCCACATGATTTTGTGCGTCACTTGGTGGATTCTCGCATCTGATTTCTGAACTTCTTCCGTTAATTTCTCTGATCTTAACTTCACCAATTTCTCTTTCTGATTTCTAGCGTCATTCGTCTTACCGCATCGGCTGGCACCACAGCTGCACCTCGTTCATCACCACCACGGAAACCGCCAGTCAATCCACTTGTTTCGACGGAGCCGAGTCAAGAAGCCCCTTGTTCCACTGCACCACCCTTGAGGCTAACTATATCGCGTGATCGACTAAATTACCGCGGTGAGCAATCAAACTTTCCCAAAGCTTACGCTGAATCGACCAGCACCAGTGACAGTGAGAGTTTACTGAGCAGCGGCGATGATGATAATGACGAAGCTGAGCTCAAACTTGCGACTGTCTCGGCCTCTGATGTCCACTTGCAGTTACCTCCACCGCCATGTTTGGAGCGGTTGCCCGATCGTACCTCGTTCAACTTCCTAACCGGTGCTAAGCGCTCTGGTCGTAGTGTCCAGATGCTTGATGCTAAGCCACCCCAGGAAACTAAAGGAAAGCGGTTGTCTTCCGATGCTTCTTTATCCCGTTCTAAGCAAATCTGCAGCAGAACAGACATGTCCGCACACAAAGAATTACCTCCGCTCCTACCCTTATACTCTTCCACTCTATCGAAACTCCCTAGCGCATCGTCCACTCAGCAACCAAGGGACGCGACGCCAAGTAAAGCGGGTATGATATCCCAGGTCGTTTTTTCATGATGGCTTTTTTCGTTCAATCTACCTGCTTGCACCACTATACGCCAGTCGATCTTTGCTTGCTGATTGCTGGTGCGTTTTTGGTTATCGGCTTTAACGCTATCATTGTGCGAAATTTGCTCCTGACTATACTTAGTCAAAACCCACTTCCTCACTCTCATTTTCTTGAGGTGCCACAGCTTTCATCCTAACTTGTCGTCATCAGATGCAGAGTTTCCCAGCGGTCCTGAAATGCATTAATTTGCCCCATACTATGGATGTCTGATGTTGCAATTTTTTCCACTAATAGGCCGGGGCTAAGGTTTGTACACTACCTGTCTTTCGCAGCCGAGTGAATGGTTAGCCATCACTTTATCCACTTAGTGTGGAAATCTGTTAGCTGAATTTTAATTCTGCATTCGTTGTCATGAACGCTTTGGGTGTTTTCAACTTCCTCCTGGATATCTCCCCTCGAGATTCAAGGTATGAAGTTTTGTCGCAATTTTTTTGCACACACACAAGGGCACTTTTATGTTTGTGACAATCTCTCTTTTGATAAGTCGTTTCGCTCCATTGATCAACGACAGCTCTTCGCTGCGCTTCGCATCTTAACGCCTCTATCTAACTCTGCTTGCTAGGCTCATGACTTATGTAGGTAGGGTATTTTGGCTGCTGATAAAGGCACCATACTTTGGGATATTCTCCTTATGTCAACCGTGACGTTCTACTTTGAGCAGGCCACAGTCTGGTTCATTGACTGCTCAGGACCACGAAAGCCTAATAAACCAAACAATCGATGCGACGCAAACTAGTACACATGGACTGAATCCTACGGATGCTGATAAGCGAACGTGACGTAGACCGGCACGCATGCGACGGCACACTTTCCTCGGTTCTCGTGCTGTTCTAACACACCTAGGTCCACCACCACGAATCCATCCAGCAATCGGAATGGGAGAAAACTGTATTTCTTGGAAATCGCGCGTCATGTTGTCTATTGCTACTGAGTATGTACTACTAGAGATGCTCGATTGAGAGATTTTACTAGTTGACGCGTCGTCGAAAATCTGGTGTTGTAGGGCAACGGGCTCCAACCGGATGGGCATTTGAAAAGCAACGCTACTGGCAACTCTTGTGCTCCTTCCTTTGTTTCTCGTTTTGCTTAATTCTCTTCCTCTCGTGCTGTCCAGCAACAAACCACCTCTACTTAAACCAGATATACTAGCACTAGGCTGAACACGTTCTAAACCTCAGATATTGCTCCATGCTGGGTTTTCGAGAATCCACACACCATGTCAGTTTTGTTAACAGGTAGAATTCGATTTCGCTTGATAACGCGAAACGCTGCTCGGTGCATCCAGTCACATAACATGTATGCTTTACAGTATCGTCTTAACCTAGATGCGGCAACTACGCTCGGGTTCCAGTAAGGCAGTTTACACACTTTCCTATTTAAGTGACACCGGTTCCATAATTGCGGCACTATAGCTGAGGTGTTTTTCATCTTCAGCTAACTCGTATAATGATGATGATGATTGTTCCATAACTCGCGGCATTCAGGAGGTCGTAGTCTATCCCAAAAAGTTTTCGACTGCGCTTTCCCTTACGGGATTCTAATAAGCAGCCGCGTGTGCATGTCTCTTTGGGCGCTCAGTCGGAATTAATAGACCACAATTGAAAGTAAATTGTTATTAGTTATTTCGGTAGGTGTTCCCACCGACTGTAGCCCAAAGGTGGTCACAGATGATATGCCACTACAATAGGTTTATTGTTAAGAACTATGCATATCGCGATCCCTACTGTTGATTTGAATGCTCGGTTCCATTGGTTCCATTAAGAAATCCAATAATGTAGAGGATGCAGACGAGGGGGATGATTGCTACAGCTTTAAAATTCCTACCTGCCACTAGCGTTGACTTCTCAATCAAGTTTCCTGAAATATGTGACATTGTTACTTTTTCTCTGGTAAATTGTTCTGTTGCGTTCCTCATTTCAACATTATTTGTCCTCTAACTCAATGTGCTCGCATGGAACGTTTTCTCCTTCTCTCTCTTAGTAGCTACACTTAACCGTGTTTATCGTCCAGTCGCTGACTATCCTGTGGCTCCTTTCCTTCAACCGAGCCTAAATCTTCGAATAACCCTTCATTTTGTGGCACCCGAGTTACCCGCAAGTACTTCTTGTGTGCAAAGTAATCCGTAGTCCAGACTATTCCAATATCAACTGAGACTATTCTTTTACTCACATGCACTCGACTTTCACTTAGTTGCTACACTTTGGATTAAATTCCGTCATGTTCGTCGATTGTTAAAATCCACCACCTTGTTTAATTCATGCTTATATTTTTAACCGCGTTTCTCTGTTTTTCCCTCTTTTACGCCTTTTTCAGGATCTTTCATCCTTTCCAAGAGGAAACGGCTACCAACGATTGGGGTGCACAACGACTCGGTAGCTAAAAGGCGCTTAGTAACCAACAAGCACGAAGGTTCCGGGGGCTCTGGTCAATCTCTTTCGGTGACTACAGACGATGTTGGTAAACCTCATCTAGGTCGTGTCCGCGTAGATTCTATTTTCACTGACGATGAATCTGATGCTAAACACCCTGACTCTTCACCCGCTTCTCACGCAGCCAGCCGTCTTCCACCTGCTCACTTGACATTTAAATGTGTCAGTGACACCTCTCACGCAAAGCAGCCAATTCCAAAGAGCGAATCTTCACCATCCACTTCGTCAAAGATAAGTTTAAGATCATCTGTGGACCAGAAAAGGATCAAAGGTCGCCCGCGGACGAAGCACACATCTGAGATTAAGTCATCTACCTACCCACTTGTTCTAAAAGGTTCCTCAACTTCCGTTGACGTCCCATCTCAGTCACCAGCCTTTCGATCACGGGAATGTTCTAAGGTGAAGCACATTCCCGCTTCCACTCTTACCAGTTTCAGCGCTGTCGATAGTCGTTTTTCTTCGGTAGCACAGCGTCAATCTTCGCAGGTTGTTGCTTCGGCTGGGAGCTCGTACTATTTCGTAAGTCACCTTTTTTAAGCAAACATCCTATGAACTGTTATGGAATAGTTGCGAAAACCTATACATGTACTTACGCAGAATATTATTGTTTTCATATTGAGTATTCATCTTTCTTCTACACTGGGATGCTTCACTGTTCGTCTGTTATGTTGCATCTGACTTTACTATGGATTTTACCGTTGTCTTTCCAGAGCCACCTGTTTCACACAAATTATTACGTCTTTTCCCCTTTGTCGGTATCAAGTTGTAGTTGATTAGCCTTTCTCACCAGCGCTACTTATCGCGTTCCACGCTGTTTATGATGTTGCAGTCGACTGGTTTGAAGCGCGTGTATCGCACAACTTCATTGATTTTTGTGGGACGCGGTCGGCACACATTTTCAGGTGAATAACGGACTTGTATTGGCTTTGGGGCACTTCCTTTGCTGCCCTTAACCGCTCTATCATACAAAACTTGCTAGTGAAATTTACGGTCTTTATTCACCCGCTCCCGTCATAGAGACATCTGTCATCCATTCCTTTGGCTCTTGCAAACATGACCAAGACAATAAGGTTGCCTCAGATTGAGGTCGCACACTATCAACGTCTTGGCTTTTCGAGCATTATTGTCTCCTAGTTTCGATGCACACTGCTACGCTTGCACTCATACGACTCGAACTCACTAGCTCTTTCTAGTGGATTTCGAATCGTGGCTTCTCCTTACCTTACTGTTTACTTTGCTGCTGCTTTTCTGGCGACCACTTTATCAGAACTCAGGCAAATCCACCTCCGTTTTTGTGCGGACACCTAATTTTTTGCTATCGCCTAAAAGAATGCTTCACAAACTTTCCAGCCAACCCCAACTTACAACAATACGACGTGGTGTACGATAGCCACTGTTAATTTTCGCAGCCACCAGTTACTCATTTATCCTGCACTTTGAATTTGACGTTCGCTCCCACTCAGCGACTGTGTCTGTGCACACCCAAGCCTGCGCCTACAGCCTCTCCTCGCATTTATGAAATCGAGAAACATTATGTACCTAAACTGTTTCACTGAGCATTCACGCCTGGTCTGAAGGGTAGAGCACGCATTTGGGCGGCCAATCAGCGCGCATTTACCGAGTTATCGGGAACGGGGCTGGTTTCTGTTGCCTTCTCACTAGCTTGCCAAACATAGGGTACTTTCTGAGAGTTCTTTACTAAAATTCTTAAAAATTTTGACGCTGTTAACTCGATTAGCAATCACTTACGCCGCTTGGAGTCCGCACTGAAATAATTACTACCTCTACTAAAACATGAAATGCCATCACTGGGATATATAAAAAATCAGGAGTCAACAGCGTTCTCCAGCAATTATACTACTAAAACGAAAAGTGCCTCAGATAACACGACGAAAAATAAGAAACAGTAGCAGTAAACTGCGATCGTGTCACCAAACCGGGAAGTGTCTGAGCCAAGACGACGGAAATACGAGAAGCAATAGCTGGCCGCCTTGATGACAGCATTGTTTCTGTACTTGAAATGCAAGTCGCATCACTGCTCTTGAAGAAGTTAGCTCACTGAAAACCGAACTGCAGCGCTCTAGTGCAAATGTCTATCGACGAATGACAAAGACGCGCAAGCTGTGATATTAGACATTCTGACTCTTTTATGCTTAATTACAAATGACACGCAGGAACGTTTCGCAGATCAAAACATGTGATTGTGTTCAACACACCTGACAGATTGAGTATAGCAAAAGTCAGAATGATATCCTGCTTGCAGCATGCTGTGTGAGTTGCTTTAACTTCCCATGTCTAAGGCAACAGTAAGATCATGCCCTAATCTTCTTAAATTCCCAAAAGGCAGCTGATGTACATACTGCACATTACAAACGGCACATTGCTGCACGACCTGACTTTAAGACATTCTGATCAGAAGCATTCAAACGCCAATTCAAGGCGGTTTGCACTTAATGCGAATCATTAAGACGTTGGTGTTTCTTACGCGTGCATCAACCATATCGACAATAATGTGGACCTTGACAGATTACAAACACCGCCGCTATTTAAAGAAATTCACCAGCACCTAGTTCACTGTTCCATCCATTATGTATCATTGCAGGAGAATGCTGGTCCGGTCTGGCCAAAAGATTAGGCACACGCGTAACGTAATTTCTGTTGCAATTCTCGCAGAAGTTGCTGCCGTCTCATATGCCCCGTCTACAAACAACGAGCTCATGAAGTATGTGGCACAAATTTAGAAAAAAGGGTAAAATTGAAAAAATCTTGGAAATCGGGATCAATAGCTCTTTACTGCATATCACAGCAACTATCCTGGGTCCCAACTAGAAACCTATGTCATTACCGAGCGCTGCATTTTTACAATACTCTATGTGATGCCCAACAGTCCTTAACATATAAACAACCTCCACCAGGAAATGCGAAATGCTCATTAAATCAACTGAGGAAAACTGCATGCTGTTGCACTTTTGACATTGGAACCGATTTTATGATCCCTAATAGCACTTCGACTTATCATCCACTATCACAAACGATCCTCCTACCTACCCCCGACCCGGAGATGGTAACATTCTAATTCGAATAACGTGGCATCTTATGACAAATTTGAAGAAATGCATGGGGACACACCCTCAAACGCGCACCATATCCCGACGGCAGCCTCACGTTCTAGCCTACCCTCCACCGCCACTTCCTCCTACAGAACAATTTCACCCTTTGCAAACGATTCTTTTTTTGCCAACATCCGCGCCCACCACATGCGACTGCATAGAAACAAATAATGATCCATTGGTTCAAGCATTCTCTTGGCTGGAGCCAATAAAATGGAAAAAACAACGGAGCCCAGTCATTCCATCGCGACATACCCCCACGTCCATGATAACAGAGGGTGTGCTATAACCTAATCTATATATCGTGTTTCATATTTTTTCTCTTAATTCTGCCACTCAAAATATTCCTTCGATATTAACGAAACTGGATCTGCTTTCGATGTTTATGTTCCTTAAAACTCCTGAAATTGTTTGTATCACTGAAACATGGTGCACATCAGCTATTTGTGACTTTCAGCTGGATGTTCCGGGTTATCAGTTGTTTCGGAAGGCTCGTCTGCACAAACGCGGCGCTGGATGTGCCATGTACATTCGCCACGGCATAATAGCAATCTCAGCTGACCAGTTAACCCTCATTAATTTTGACGAGGATTGACTATTCCGGCCTATGATCTGCTCTTGGGTTGCATTTTTAGACCTGATACCACTCTCCATGAACCTCAGCAGTTAATATCTGTCACTAACGCGCTCTGCAGCGTGAATATCAGGCTATCTGAAAACTCCAGAGCAATTAGAAAACCACTAGTTCAACTGCGACATATTGATTTTATCACATTTGACAAGATACTTAAAACCATGTGTTGGGACCGATTCTTCTCCACGACAGATTTAGCCATAGCCGCAGGCGAATTCGCGGAAAATATTGTTGCGCGCCTAGTTCTCCCAGCCGCGTCAAGAGAGAATTCACACCTGCTCAGCATACAAACGTTATATTTACAAGTCTGTGGTAATGTACAGCTAGCTGTGATTTTAAAAACTCAACCGCCCACTCGATCGATCGTCTGACCGAACACACTGGGACAGGTGATTCTCTTCGCCCCAGCTTTCAGCTACCATCACAAATATGTGCGGATATCCAAACACCTACGTTGAATATAAACACCAACCGCTTCGACGGCCGATACAAATGCTTTTCCAAGCTAAAGAAGTTGATGTCATTGCATAGTAAAATCAACGACATTAGTACATTAATTCAAATACACGAAATATTACTGAAACTTGAATATCAAACTCAACAGTCCAGATTTGCCCAGGAAACCTGATTCATCAGCATTTCAAAACACGCTTTTGTGGTGCTGCGGTTACTCAGAAGGAGAAATCCGAACTGGCACTAGGATTGCAATATGCAGTTTTTGATTTTGACCTCGGTTCACTTTGGTCAATCCGATTGTTTGGACTGTACACAAAGTATAGTTTCCGATGTTGTAATGTTGGGCCTGCGCAACATCGAACACTCCCCACTCCAGAGCTCTCTTTTTTCCAAACATGTTCACTGAGCGAAATGTTTTTCTCAGTATATTACCTTTCGGACCGGGTGGATCGCTTCTATTGGTAGGGTGCTTTTAATGTAGGAATGAGGGAATCACTCATACGTTACTCTTAGGAAGGACTTCTAACGGAGACTGTTTCTATTACGATCAAACCAACGCAGTCCGAATTGTGTTGACAGAAGACAAGTGCCGGCCTTCACATACGGTCGTCGTAATGGGATCACAGGCCCTCTTCCCATCCGGCACTAGTGACCACGGAATGGTGGTCTTCAGGCCATCCACCGACTCGCATGCGCTGTGTCATCGTTGGTGGTGCTTGTCCCGATGTCTTATTGCTCATGTGTCGTCGCGACCGGTATCACCTGAGCGGTTCAGCTTGCCCGTCGATCGAGACGTTTAGATAGCTTCACCTTCTTATTGTGGTGTTTTAACTTCTTATGGTGACCTGTGGCCCATCGACTATCCAAGCCCAAATCACTCGAAATAGAAGTCAAATGATCTTCAACAGGATGAACTTCTTCCGACAAGACAAAAAGAGTGCCCAGAGTACAAAAATCATTGGTCTGTATAGCTCTCTCACAGACGACTCAGAATACTGTCATCGTGCTGAAATGCCCTTGGTTAGGCAGTAGCGCTCAATATAAGATTAGGCGAACAGCCTCAATGGGGATAGTCGATAACCGTGACTCCCATCGATTCCTTAGGGTCTGTCTGCCCTAAGACTTACGAATGTAAACTTGGTCGGTGGCGGGAAGGATTACGCCATTTTCTTATAATCCGGTCACCGGTTTGAATCCGCGTAGCTACGGGCGACGTTGCGGTCTACGCAGCCCAAGTGCGACTAGTGGCGGTGCAGTGTACCGGCGTAACGCTGATGCCTTTCTACTCTTTTCCTTTTTTAATGTATGTTAATGCGTGT